GTGTGTGCCCGGGGAGATGGGTCAAAGCATGTTATTACAACATGGACAGGAAACCTGGAAACAACCCAAAATGCACCCGAAAAAGGGACGGGTGAAATAGAGAAGGCTCTAACCCGGGAACCCTTCCAGCAAGATCGCGGCTTGCTGTTCCAAACCCATGGATCCAGAAGCTCCTTCTAAGGCTGACAGGCTGTGTAGCCTTGTGGTTAGAAACAGAGGCTGTGGCCCAGACGGTCTGCCACGCGTCCTGGCTCCTTCCTTGACTCAGGTGACCTTGGGAAATCTTGATCGCTTCCTGCCTTCGTTTCCTCATCTGTGAAATGGGTGTGATAATCATAGCCCCTGGCCCACACCACAGGGCTGTTAAGAAGATGAAAGGCATTAATGCGAGCGGACCGACCAGGATGGCGTATGTCACATCATGCTTGCTGCATGGCGTTGCAATGTAGCCGCCACACACGCGAGGTGGGAGGAGACGACGGTGATCATGATCAGCTCTGGCTTGGTTCCGTCTCAGCTACGAATGGGAAAGCTGACAGGAAACACAAGAAACATCACCAAGTCGAAGAGTCGATCCTCACTTACAAACTGGAGAAGCTCATCTCTCGTGGTTAGGAAAACAGTTAGAGAAATGATGGGGGAGAAAGGCAAGGAAAGGATAAGACAGAAGCAGAATCTTTTCCCTAGAAACCAGGCTCCCTGGCTCCAGCAGAGACGGTGGTGCTCATTGGGGTAAAGGTGGCGGCCCCCTCACCTGGCCGCGGTGAAACGAACGAAGCTCAGTCCCTCCAGGGCAGGGATGATGCCACGGCAAGGGCGGCCGTTCTGGCTGCAACAACAGTACTTTCTGTCCTCCTGGGAGTCTGACCCGTTCGTTGGTCAGGATTTTCCCACCGTGCATGCGGCACAGGTTTTTATCCCAGTCCCCGGCGGATCTGTTAGATCCAACAGAAATGTGGCTGCTTCTGGAACCGCCCCTGAACCCCAACGTCCAAATGGGAGTTCTTGCTCAGTGACCTGGCTACTGCTCTCTGCAGCCCGGCCCACTGCCCCCGGGGCCCCTGAGGGCCGCCAAGGGGATTTCTAACCATTGAGCAAGTAGCCATGTCTCTCACGAAACCCGTGAGGACTTCCCAGTGCGGAGATCGCTTTTTATTTTGCAGAAATGGGCCCAGGTTTCCTCCTCCTCGATCCATGACGGGATCTTTGGAGTATTCAAGTCACACGGCACCTCGGTTCCACACCCAGGCCTCTGCTCTCCCACGGAGCCATTTCCATTTTCCCGGGAGACGAGGAGTCACGTCCCAGCCGCTGCGGGGTAACTCCGAGGCATCGGCAGGGGCGCCCGGCAGCCATGCGCTCTGTTTTCCAACACAATGACAGTGTGCCTGTCCCCAGCCGCAGTGCAAAGAGCATCTTATCTCCCTAACGTCAGCCCATGAAGCCACCGGGGCCGCGAAACGGCCAGCGGGTGTTAGTCACCACCCGGTGAGTGAGTCCTTGGCGTGGAGTGGATATTGTGGGGGTTCTCGGCCCGCAGGCGGAGAAGTTCACACCTCCCCGACGCCCCTACGAAACGCTGCCACGTGACCACCTTTCGACGGCATCTAAAAGGCCGGTTCCGGCGTGTCCCCGGCACAGCTCTCGGCCACGGTCCAGCCGGTGTAAGCGGGTAACGGCGACAGTCCGGCTACGGTGTGGATGCCAGCACAGATGTGTTCAGTCAAATGACTAATTGAAAACCTGAGACAAAAATCAGCAGCCTGGCCATTCCGCCTGCATGATAAAACAGCGCCGATAAAGGCAGAGGAGAAAGGGGGGAAAATCCACCCCTCTCATCATCAGTGCCATTAACCATCCTGAGTAAAGATGAGAACAGCGCGTGGTTTATTCTGCAAATGAAGGCGCATAACGAGATGGCTTCCCAGGGGCCCATTACCCGTTTTAATAATACATCAAGGAGCCTGAGCAAACAGTTTGGCTGTGCAAACCAAACAGAGCAAACTATTTACAGTTACCGCGTCCGGAGACAACTCCCAGCACTGGGGACGGAACAAATGCATCAGGTACACGGCATGGCAGCGATTAGCGGAATGAAGAGAGAGCCGTTACCCACCGAGGCTCGGCCGCCCTCCCTCGCCCTCCAGGAAGCTTGCCAACCGACTCCCGGTTCGGAAGAGGGCCACCCCCCCCCACCCGCCCCCCACCCACCATTTTTTTTTCCTCTCTTTCCTTCAAGAGAGCAGCCCGATGTGGACTCAAATTATGTGCATGAATAATAAAATACCATCTAATTAAAAACTGTAGTTAAATATGCAAAAATCCATGCTAATGAGATTGTGCAACCCCCTTGAGTCTAGGCACGCGATGAATTACTCACAGGAGCGCCTTTGCTCGTCCTGAACGGGGGAGAAGGGAAGCGGCTTTGAACACTCTTGGTCGTGGTGCCCCGTGGTGTCTCCCTCCACCCTCCCCTCTCCGCCCCCTCGCCCGGGACCCCTCCGCTGACACCCAGGGCATTGAAGGAATGGCCAACCTGGGCAGAACGTGTCCCGGACACAACCTTCTCTCCAGTTCTTGGCTGTGGCAGGAGCAGGGAGGACAGGGGTGGACCCTGTGCAAAAGGCTGGGTGGCGGCGGGGACCGAGGTAGGGGCTCCACGTGAGAGAGGCCTTCCCACAAAACGACGGCGGCCGGACAAGCCGACCTCTGAAACCGACAGCGAGCCTAACTGTGCATGCACTCACTCAAGCGCTGTTCCCTGCAAGCTCTCCAGAACCTTCTCACCTTCCCAGTCACCAGGGCAAGGTTCTGCCCACACTCTGGATTGTCCCAAAGCATCCGAGGAGAGCGTCGGCCTGCCGACACTACTGCCCGGGACAAGGGCTGCTTCCAGAAACTTCTTTCCAGCAAGCAGCCTTTTTCCATTGCAGTCTCGGAAGCCTTCGCGATGTCGTCGGCGCCAGCTCCTGAGCGGACCCCCTTCGGTTCCGTTTCAAGAGGCTACCGGTCTCCTGTTCGCACCGTAAGCCCTCTTGGCCCTCGGCCATGTGTGTGCGCGTGTGAGACGGGGCCGGCCTCCTGAGCACATGCCCCGGCGTTGGTTTGGGGCACAGGAGACGAGCTCTCACCCCTCACCTCGGCTCAGAGCTTCCGCACCGCGACGCCCTCCGTCTGTCTCCGTCTCCCCGTTTCCAGCGATGCTGCTTGAGGACGGCCGCTGACACACGGGATGACAGCCCCTTTCCCGGGAAGAGCGTGAGCTGGGGGAGGCAGAGAGTCTCAGACGCCGTGCGATTCCCGCGATTGCCCTTCCATCTGTCCGGACGGATGAGAAGCGAGCATTTGTGACATGCTGAAAAGCAAGCGTTTCTTCGGGGAGGTATTTCTCATTCCGATGAGCCGGGTGGAAAACTTCTCTCTCAGCACCTTCTCCGGCGTGCCCGTGTCGTCCTGCTTAGGATGAGGGTTTCTTGTCACGTCAGTAGGCATTGGAGCTAATTGATACGTTCTCAACACCTCTCGGCACCCGGGGGTGCGTCAGCGATGCAGGAGAGCAATTGTTGTGAAGTCAGCAGAGCGGGATTGTGCGCGCTGCCTGCGGACCTTCCCCAGTGCTGAGGTTTGTGTTGTAACGCGGGGGGCTTGTGAGGAGATGGTTCTACCCGACTTTCTCAGGTGGCAGCCGAGTTTTAAGGGGGAAGGCATGATGGTGAGGATTTCCGATGTTTGCTGGGGCAGAGCTGTAGAGTTGGACAGGCCGAGCCTTCTTAAAATCCCGCAACAGCCCAGCCGGTGTGGCTCAGTTGGTGGAGCGTCATCTGCCCCATGCTCCAGGAGGTTGCCGGGTCAATTCCCAGTCAAGGACATGCCCGGGTTTCAGCCTTAATCCCCAACAGGGCGTGCACAGGAGGCGGCCGACTGATGTTTCTCTTTCATCTCTGTTTGTCCGTGTTTCTATCTCTCTCTTCCTCTCCCTTCCTCTCTCTGAAATCAATACAAACATATTTTTTAAAAAAATTCTTGCACAAATCACGCTTAGGTTTGGCATCCTAAGAAAGACTTGGTGCTTAATGTGTATGTTCCTTATTGATTGATTGGTTGATTGATGAATTGATTGGTAATGTGATTGATTGATCTGTTAGTTCCCACTCCCAAAGGAGTGGCATCTGAGAACTCAGCTGAGTATGTAACCTCTAGTGTCATTCAGGCTGGTGTCCATGTGTCCGCTTTGCTGACTGCTAGCTGTATCATCTTGGCCCAGCTCCTTCACTTATGTGAGCTTCCCTTTGCTCATCTAGAAATGGAAATAATTGTAATGTCTCCATCATAGGGTTCTTGTTTTGAGGCAATAAGATATTGTCCATAAAGCCCTTAGCAATGGACATAAAGCCCTTAGCAATATTAAGCTCATGATAAATAGTCAATGAATAGAAGCTATACTCTATGACAACAATAGCGATGATAACAACTACTAGAGCCGATTTTCCTTAAAATGGTACGGGAAAAACAGAGATAAGGAGTGACAGGCGAGTCAAGAAGCAAAAGGAGAAATAGAGAGACTGGGAATAAACAGAATAATTACCATAGATCTTTTAGGCTTTCAAAGTGTTTCGATGGGACATTCTTTAAAGTAACTAACCCTTAAGATACTTTTGATGACAAGAAGGAGAAAGCTCAACTATGAGTGGTTTAAAATCTTAGGACATCTGTTGTCCTGGACAGCAAGAAGCCAAGAGGCTGGGTGATCAGTGGTTCCTTGACTTCAGACTTGGCTTCCCTGCAAATCCCTTGGCTCCCCATGAAGGTTTCAAGAACACTGCCCCACCCCCAGCGCTCATGTCCCCCCACAGCTCTGCTGAAAGGAGGAGGTCTCGGGGACCGAGGATGGGGTTGGTGTTGGCTTTCCTCATCTCTCATGGAGAAAATATTTTCCTGGGCTTCCCAGCAGCCTTCTCATCATAGCTCATTCAACCATAACTGGGTCACATGCCCATCGCTGAGGCAATCACGGGGAAAGGAGAATGGGATGGTTATGCTTGGCATTGGCCGACGATGACTCATTCGCTAGAGTTGGGTCCGCCTCTCCTAAGCACATTGCCAGTAGGAGCCCGAAAAATACAGGACGTCTGCTATCCAGAGAAAGAGGCGGAGAGGACTGCGAAGTGAGCAACCAGGAACGTCCGCCGCCGGTTATTATGACCATTTGTCAGACTTGGAAACTGAGGCTCAAACAGGTCAAGTACAATGCTCATGGCACGTGCAGCTTACCAATAAAAGAAGGCAGTCTACTAGTGAAATCTTTAGGCTCCCGATTCCGTGATCATTTCACTACATTCAACTGCAAGGTGATATTAAACTGGGAACTCGGAGCTTGCGTGCTGGCAGACAGAGTGAAAAAAGCCAAGAAGATGAACCCTGTGGTTCATTTCACGATCAAAAGGCACCATATACTTTTACATGGAGAGGAACATTTTCCCCAATAAGTTCTTAGAGGAATTTATGGCATGGAACCTCAGGGATCTAGTAACAGAATGGATAAAATCAGAAGTGATAGCTGGCACACGCCCTGCCGCTATGAAGAGGAGACGGGTGTGGTTGTTTTTTTTTAACATTTTATTTGCTGTGAAGGTGGATGTGAATGTCACGCTCTCATGGGTGTACCAAGGTTTTGTCTAAGCTTAACACTTTGGCAGAGGAGCTAATCTCTATTGTAATGGATTAGAGCAAGGCTAATAACAGTACCTTGGGAACAATTACTCAATACATAGATAAGCTGGGTTTTGGATGATGTGCAATTCCTGGTATATCCTAACCACATCCTTTCCTCTCCCACTTAAAAAGGCAAATGAGTGTGTGAGACTGTTTTATGGATTGCTTTGACCTGACTCATCTATATATATAAAAAGCCAGTGCCCGTGACGACCGTAACGACCAAACGACCACTCACCAGGAGGGCAGGTGGGCAGGGTGGTGAACGTGGAGAGCAGCGGCGGGCGGGTGGGCGGACGGGTGGGCGGGAGCCCATCACTGGCAAAACTTCACTGGCTCTCATTGGCTTAATTGTTGTGCCTTATTCCACATGCTACAGTCGCAAAGCAGACGCAAGCCCCCCCCCTGCTGCCGATTCCAGCTCGATAGTCAGAAGAATAGTGAGCAAACTCGCTTGCACGAGAAGGTGCTGAATCAGAGAGAAAACTCTGACGATTCCTGATGGTTGCCAAATCATCATTCTTTAAAATTACCTTAAGGAAATCTGCACATTATCCCAGCAGCTGGAGGAAGATGGGAAAAAAACAAAACAAAAAACAGCCCTGCAATCACCTGTAGTTACTTCTACTGACCCATCACTTTAGGCCCCTACGACCTCGCAGTCACTCTTGAGAGAGGAGCTGGCCTGCGAGAAGAAAGCACATACAAAATCCAGAGTCCTCTGCTGTTGCCATGGAAACGCCGTGCCTGGGGGAGCCTCCCACCTCCAGCTGCAGCCTGATGTCGTTTCTGGGTGAGCACAGACGCTTACCTTTATTTTTAAGAAGTTCCTATGTTTGTTTATAGGAAACTAGAGGCCCGATGCACAACATTCGTGCAAGAGTAGGCCTGCCTTCCCCCGGCTGCTGGCACCAGCTTCCCTCTGGCACCTGAGACCTGGGCTTCCCTCGCAGCCCCGGCTTCGTCTGGAAGGTCATCCGGAAGGACGTCTGGTCTAATTAGCATATTATGCTCTTATTGTTATAGATAAAGAGTCCTTTCTGCTGCAGAAATAGCATTCTATATAGTAAAGTGTTTGTCAGTCTGGTTATGGAAACACAGAGTAATTACTCAAACCTTTTTAAAAAAAAAACACACAAATGCCTATTTCATTTTTGGAAGATGTTTATAAATGCATTTAGGGAGATGTCTTATTGATGAAAGGGAACTCCTAACACTGAGAAAAATTGAGATTTTCATCAAGGTACCAATGCCTAAGGGTCAAGAGCTTGGCTACAAATGGGAAAATACAAGGAACTTCGTTGGACTGTTCTATTATTATTTCTTAAGCACGTACCATGTGCCTGGTACTTAGCCTAGCCTGGTACTTAGATGAGGAGAGGAGTGAGACCTCCCACTTAGCACTCGCACTGAAGGCGGTTCCCTCTTCAGGGCTCACAGACAGCAAATGTGTGGTGCAGGCCCCGTGAGGGCCGATGCACTTGAGATCCCAGCCACACCCAAAGGGGTGGACGCCACTCCGCCTCCACGATGACTTCCACCCGGGAGTGCCGACCCAGGGCCTCCACATGACCCCATTGTACACGGCTAACTGGAAATCAAAAAATCTACGTCAACTCGCTCGACTTTTCATTGTTAATTCTATTTAACAAAGATAAAAAAAAACTGCGGGGAAAAAAACAACACGCCAGCCTGCTGCTTGCCCTGAATTGATTTGTCGGTTTGGCAGCATAAAAACTCGGCCCTTAATGGCATTCATTTTCTGTCCATTTTGTCTTGTGAAGAAATTAATTACACTCATGTCAGCCAAAAATACCTTTGGGTCTTTAAATCCTTTTTTCCTCTCTCTTTTTCAAGATGAAAGTATTTCTGCCTAATTGACCAGCATCTGCCATTGTGAGATCCTCGCCCTCATGAGAGATGTCGAGAGCGGGTGTGAGGGCTGTCAGCGCACTTCAACTTGGTTCCAGCCGCCATTTAAGAATTAACTTTTCTTCCCACCACGCGGAGGGAGCCCAGCGGTTGAAACCTGAGGACCGAGGGGAAGGCTGAGAGAAGAAGAGAGAGACAGAGACAGGAAACCAAGATTACTGAGTGGCTGGGAATGTGCAAACGGCTGCAATGGAGAGCAAGCTGATTTCTCTCTTTTTTTAATGCATGCATTTCTTTGTAGATATTTATTGAGCATCTACTATGTGTCAATCTTAATGGAGGCTTGGGCATAGTGGGTGAATGGGGCAGGCATAGTCTCTGTCCTCATAAAACATACATCCCAGCTGGGGTGGGGCAGGGGCAGGACGGGGACAGGGCAACAAGCAGAGGCACCTGAAATGGCGACAGTGCTAATGAATGAGTAACACGGGGTGGTGAGATGTAATCAGAGGTTTCGTTCGTGGGAGCGGTCAGGGAGGACTCTGAGAAGAAGAAATCTGAGCCGAAATCAGAATGACAAGAAGCCAGCTATGCGGAGAGCTGTGGGCAGGTGGGCAGGGATACAGAGTTCAATAACCCTGACTTACACATCGGGTCAATTCTTCCCATTTTTGAGTGTTTTTCTGGTCCGTTTGGTTAACAAAGGGGCAATGTCTCCCTCTGGTATGAGTGTGTTTTCCTCAGATGGATGTCTTTCTATCGGCAATATCCTTCTAAAAACCTGCTAGTCTGTCTCTTTAGCAAAGGCCTCGGGCCCAGAGCCTTCGGCAGGGAATAGTCGCTGGCTAGAATGAATGGTGTTATTTCATTTGTCTTTTATTTATTTTTGTAGGGGTGTTTTTCCCCCCTAGTGTGCCATTTTGCAATAGTGATATAAAATGTCCTTTTTGAGTGAATGTCGTTAAGTGAAAAGAATGAATCAAGTGTAAAGACAAATATTAATTAAATGACAGCATAGAACTTAACATAATTAAGGTGGCAGGGTATTTTTTCTCCCTTGTCTCTTCTTGGGCATATTTCCAAATATCCAGAAGAAAGGAAAAACCAAAACACAGTCTCCATCTCTGCTGAAACGAGAAGCCATCTGGGATGCTTAACATAATGTGTTAAATCAGAAACCTGATAGGGAAGAGATAACTGAGTTAGAAGGAGGATGAGGTGCTGGGATAAAAATACCTGGATTAAATAAAATCCTGTGGAACTCTACAGTATGGGCCCAGGGGGGCTTGCTTTGCCTAGAACCCAGAATGCACCGTCAGGCTGATCCCCATAGGTCGGAGGTGGAGTGATGGCTAATTCCTCTAGAGAGAATAGGAACCAGGGGAATACGTAGCAATACACTAAAAAGCTGGTTTGCCATCTAGTGACCCACCAGTCAACAAGCTCTCTCAGGTGCATGGAGCCTCCAGCAAGCTTTATTTTGTTAGAGCTGCATTCTTAAAGGTAAACAGGCTACAGAAGATTCACAGATATGAAGAGGACACCTCCACCAAGGCAGACAGAGACCAAATGAGAAATCAGAAGAAGAAAAAATCTGAGACAGAGATAATAAAAGGAATAACAGAAAATGTCACAATATTATAGTTAATGCTCACAGAGAGACGAAAGCATGCTGCATCCATGAAACAAGAACAGGACACTATTGCTTTTAAGACTCAATCAAAGAATAAACAAGAAAGAACTTTGTGAAGAAAGCAGAGTTGAAGAGGTGATAAATCCAATTTAAGAATTGAAAGGTGTAATTGAAATATATCTCAGTAAATAGAACAAAAAAGACTAAAAAAAAACAAGTGGAAAGATAATATTTGAAAAATTATAACATCTAACTGTGAGTTCTGGCATCTGACTATGCAAACTTCTGAAAAGAAAGGATAGAATACATATTGGAAGAATATAATTTATTAAATAAATAGCATGGGGAAATTTCTAGAACTGGGGGACATGAGTTTTCTCAGGTGGGATAAGAGGACCCACTCAGAATTGAGCACCATGCAGCTAAGGCCCATCAATATGGTATTTCAGGACCCCCAAAGAGAGAGAGAGAGAGAGAGACCCTAAAACTTTTCTGAGTGAAAAAAGAGAGATCATGTTGCACACAAAAGACTGGGAGAAGAACTGAATCAGATTATTAACACTAGGAGAAAATGACAATGAATTTTCAGCCTAGAATTCTATACCCAGCCAAAATGTCAAGTGTTATGGTGGACTCACGACATCTCACAGACAGAACATTTACCTCTCATGGTCCCCTTTCCCAGGATGTGACTAGAAGATGCACTTCATCAAAGAAGGGAGTTTGGGATCCTGGAAATAAATCTAACATACGAAAGAAGCAAAGAGATTCCAAGATGAGGTACTATTCACAGCCATACACCAGTCCTAAGGGTCAACCAGTCCTGATTGGAACAGGAGCTCACAGAGCTCCAGGAGGAGGGACTCTAAGAAAAACAAGCAAACAAAAAACAAACAAAAAAAACCCCTAAACCAATAGATGACCGATATATTGATACACGGGTGATTTTATTTAAAAAGCTATTGGAGGAGAAGGGAACTTTTTCAGTAGATATTTTTTAAAAAACTAAGAAAATGAAAAATGAGACAATTATTGATTCCAAGAAAAGAAATATTTTCCAAAAAAGAAACATAATTCTGGCCCTCCATTAGGCTCCAAAGTGAATGATATTTGCGCTGTCAAAATAATGAAATTATTTTTTCCAATATTGCTTTAACTGGAACATTTATATGCTCCTGCTGGAAAGATCTGGGGGAGAGGAAGCAGGGCAGAAGTATGTATGCGTTCGCAAGAAAGAAAGCCAAGTCCTCATTTACCAAAGTAGAAAGTCAAAAGTCTAAAATTAATGAATCAAGAGAGAGCTGTATCATCATATTATCTGTTAGAAATATGAAGATTAATGCCTGAAGAAACCACTAAAAGAGTTAAAATTGATGCTTCTAGAGAGATGAATTGGGTTGAGCAACAAAAAAATTATTTCTCCATTATAAATACTTTTTAGCATTATTTACCTATTTCACTTATGTTTAAAGCAGAAGAAATAATCTATAATAATAAAAGCATAATATGCTAATTAGACCAGACGTCCTTCCGGATGTCATTCCAGATGACCTTCGGGACGAAGCCAGGGCTGCAAGGGAAGCCCAGGTCCTGGGTGCCAGAGGGAAGCCGGTGCTGGCAGCCGGGGGAAGGAAGGCCTACTTTTGCATGAATTTCATGCATTGAGCCTCTAGTAATATAATATTTACCAAAAGGGTAAAAATTTCATGGTTCCCAATTGCCTCTGAAAGACAGCCCCAATTTTTCACTGGACATTTGTCCACCTAAAATAAATGCTAGGTTATCCTGGGTCCCTTGCAGCTAACTACGGCCATGTGACTAAGTTCCGGCCAGCTGATGACAAACAACAGCAGTATAGACAGTTTCTGTGATGCGTCCTGTTCTTTGCCCCCTCCTGCTTCCTGCTGGAGCTCCAGGAGCCATGACGATTTCGGAATGGAGGCCATACAGGGCAGAGCAACAAGATAGAAGGGGCCTGGGTTTCTATGACCACACCATGCCCTGAATTGGCTCCTTTAGACTTAGAGAAATGAGGGAGACATTCACTTCATCTTTAAAAAAAAAAACACACAACCCAACACATTGTTATTTGGGGAACCGTTGAATGAGACAGATTTAAATCCAACTTATTCACTGGCATATGTCAGAAATCATAGCAGAGGCATGCGACTAAGTGGATGTGGGGAACACTGGCCTGCCATGCCCGAGGGAGAAGAAAGGAGAGGGACGGGGAGGGAGCAGAGCCGGTTCCTTTCTCAGGAGCGAGAGGGGTGGGATGCGTGCAAGGCCCTACTTTACCATCTGGGAAGCTCCACACAAGAATGCAAGATAGAGTTCAAGGGAGCAACTGCTCATTAAGGATCCATCGCTGTGACTCACCCACGCAGGCTGTTAGGCACAGTCCTGGCCCTGCAGTTGCCTGCAGTCCCGTGGGGATCCTGGCAGGTACCCATGGAGCTCTACTAACGATGGCGCCCACTGTTGACTGAGCCAGGCCCGATGCGGCCCCTCGCTGCATCCCCAGATCACCAACCAGGTGATGTGAGCGTCTCTGGTGCCATTCCCAGCTTCCAGAGGAAGAAGCTGAAACGTGAAGAGGTCATGCAAGTCTCCAAAATCACCCAGGTAGACAGGCTGTTTGGCTCAGCTGCCGGAGCCCGGGCAGATGATAAACCGCTGCCTCCTAGGTGGAAGCAGAGGAAAGCGAGATGAAAACCCTGGCGCGCTGAACAAGTGAGCCTTTGAGCCGGGGCCGGAAGGTTCTGCAAGGTGAAGTGGGACACAAGAGGAGCTGCAAGTGGGTGGCACAGCGTGAACGAAGGGACGGAGCCGGGAAAACACCAGGCTGGCTTGAGAAGCCACGAGTGGAGGAGTCTAGCTGGACTGTGGGAGGTGAGGCCAGCAATGCAGGGTGGGGGCCCCGTCACAGCCACCCGGGGGTGGAGGCTGCAGGCGCGCTTCAGATTCCATAGGTGGCTCGCGAGGTTTGCCTGCTTGCTTGTTTTTGATGATTAAGCCACCAGACGCCTGCCATCTAGATTTAGCTGGCACATGAGTGTGCACTAAGGCCACCGCCCCAGCGGCCTGCTGGGCCCCACCCCCTCGCGGCCTCTACCGTTCCTGCTGCCTCTGGTGGCAGGATGGCCGCAGCAGCCACTGGGCCGTTTCCGCGCCTGCCTCTGAGATCCCTTCCCCTAGGAAATATTTCCCAGCAGATTAGTTAGCTCAGACGGCACAAGGACTCATCAAATTCACAGCTATTATAAAAATGTTTTCATGCCCGGCCGGTGTGGCTCAGTGGTTGAGGGTCGACCTATGAACCAGGAGGTCATGGTTCGATTCCCGGTCAGGGCACATGCCCGGGTTGCGGGCTCTATCCCCAGTGTGGGGCGTGAAGGAGGCAGCCGATCCATGATTCTCTCTCATCACTGATGTTTCTCTCTCTCTCTCTCTCCCTCTCCCTTCCTCTCTGAAATCAATCATATATATATATATATATATATATATATATATATATATATATATATATATTTTAAATGTTTTCATGAGTTCATCACCATCTTGTTGTCATAAAAGCCCCCCCGCCCTCTGTCTTGTGCCAGGGAGGAGAAACGGCTTCAGGGACAGGCTCTTATGGCCCCTGAATCGGGAAAGGGTGGGCCTGGTGCACATGGCACTTCACTCTGAGCATCCCGCTGGGACTTGTCTCTGCAGCCACGTCACCCGAGTGTCTTATCTTTTTTTAAAAAAACAAAAAAAACAAAAACTAGAATATCATATTTTACTTTAATTTTTTTCGTTTACAGTTTACATTCAGTGGGTACAGGAAACACCGGGGGAACACGTTGTAAAGTATGTGATTGTCTAACCCTAGCGGTATGCCTGAAACTGGCACAGGAGCGCATCGAGCGTCTGCCCTGCTGGCTGCCCGCTTCCATCTGGGCAAAGGCTGGCGGCTGGCACTTAACGAATTAAAATGGGAGCGAGGCAGAGGAAGATGGAAGGGACCGGAGAGAGGTCACTGGGGGGCTGGCGGGGGGCGTGAGGCCTCTGAGTGTGACTACATGACCCTGGGAGCCTGGGCAGCCGCAGACGCGGGGCCTGGGATTGGGGCCAGCGGAGCACCACCAGCCCTCCCGTGGCCCCGAGTGCACCGATCAATGATTCTCTCTCATCAATGTTTCAATCTCCCAAACCCCCTCCATTCCTCTCTCTCTAAAAATCAATTTTAAAACATTTAAAAAAAGATATATTTTAAAAAATTGCCAGTGTGGGTGCGTGTGTGTTGGGGATGGCGGATGGCACCTGGAGCCACACAATCAGAATCTTTGGTGGCGGAATCCGGCACAGGTACCCCTTCCATTTGTTGAGGTTCCCCCCCACCCAGTCCTTCCCCCCCTTCCCCCCCCCCCCAGCAGCCTGGGTCAAGAGCCCTGCCCTTGGACAAGCAGCTTGCCCGGCAGCCAGCTCTTAAAATAACCCGTCTTTCCTCTCGCCGCACATGCTTTGCTGAGGACCCAGCTCCAGGAAACAATAGACGTGTCCCTGGCTGCGTGAGTGGTGCTGGGCACGGAGGTGGTGACACGCGGCTTCCTGGTGTGATAGCGGGCGTGTCGGAGACGGACGCCATCTGGAGCGCAGGGGGCGAGGGCTGGGACTGCGCGGGCCACACCCTGTCCCTTCAGCACTTCTCCCTTTCTAGGGCCACTCTGTCCCAGGCTGCTGGTATGTCGCCCTCTGGGGGGCGCCCCTACCTGCCCCTCCACCCCCGACCCCCCAAACACACACACATACACCACAGCCTGTGGGGAGGAGGCGGACCATTCTCTTCCTCCCCAACCAGGCCTGGGTCTGGGTCTTCCTCCCTCCAGGACGATTAAAATACGCTCCTGGGCCCGTCAGACAAGAGGCAGGTGGACAGAACTTCTATTGATACGCGCCCGCCCTGAGTCCAGATAGCCACGGTGGCCGGGGGTTTCAGGAGGACCAGCAGCTCGGTGCCTTCCTGGAGTGGGATCAATGCCGAGAGCGATTTTCAACATGGAAATACACGGAGGCAAGGCCACTGGTTGTGCTTAAATGACCCAGGATGATGATGACGGGACGGGATTCTCTCTCTCTCTCTCTCTCTCTCTCTCTCTCTCTCTCTCTCTCTCTCTCTTCCTTTCCAGGAGTGGCCCTTGCAGGTTTAATTGTAGAGTCTAATTACTTCAAGACATCGTCATTTGTTGTGTACCCTATAAATCAGTGGCACTCCCTGGAATCATGTTTTTTAAAGTAGACCCCAAATAAAATGTCCTTTTATGACACAGCAGATGTTTCTCACTCGGCCAGCGCCATGCGTCGGGGTGCTCCGAGGAGGCCTCGGCGTTTTATTATGAATAACATACTCGCTCCGTCATTAAGGGGGCCATTAAAGACATAAACAAGCTTTTATGCCCCGGTTTTCAACAGCTGCTGGTGGCCTATACCAAGCGATAATCCACCTTTCAGCAAATATTCTTCAGCTCCGAGAAATAAATACATTTACTAGGGCAGCCTCCGGTTGGTCCCCGGCGTCTGGGGTCCCAGCTTGGGGGGAATTCTCGAAGCCAGAAAACTGACCGAATGGGGTGTGCTTCGGGGGCGTTGCTACGAGGGGCTGGCCCTCCTGTTTCCTTGAGAAAGCCTCGTGTGTGTTTCTTTAAAATAGAAGCCAAAAAAAAAATTAAAAGAAAAAAAAAAAAAAGGAAGAGAAAGACGTGCGGGAACTCTTCCCTCCGCAATCAAGTGAGCAGACATGCCCACCGACCCCCTAACCCAGTGGTTCTCAACCTTCCGGCCCTTTAAATACAGTTCCTCATGCTGTGACCCAACCATAACATTATTTTCGTGGCTACTTCATCACTGTCATGTGGCTACTGTGATGAATCGTCATGTAAATATCTGATATGCAGGATGGTCTTAGGCGACCCCTGTGAAAGGGTATTTCGACCGCCAAAGGGGTCGCGACCCACAGGTTGAGAACCGCTGCTCTAACCTGTACTTGGAAGGAAGTCAGCAGAGTGGGTTTTAGGCCACAGACAAAAGGAGGTGGGGGACAGCGCAGGCAGGGCCGTTGGGTCGGATCTGCGCAGACGGGACGTGACCCCTCTGTGACAATGTCCCCAAGGTGTACAGGGCGGAGTTTCACGTCTCTAACTGGACAGGAGCCAGGTCAGCGTTCCCGGTGCCCCCACCTTGGACTTCCTAAAGATAACAAGCCTGCGGTGGAGGAGCCCAGCGAGGGAGAGTGCCCGGATAGGAAACGCAGGCCGGCTCCGGCTTCCTGCCCCAGAGGGAGCCCGGGGGGCGCGAAACCTCAGGGTGCGAATGTACACAAGGACATCCTCCCACCAGCAGATGTTCGGGGAAGAGGAAAGAGGAGCAGGGGCCAGCCTGGTGGACATTTACATGAAGCCTATGCTGCCCTCACCCAGGGGGCACACTTGGGACACTGAATACAAGAGGGGTGGGGGGCCTTGAAACTGATTTCCAAGTCTGGCCCATTCCAAGTCTGTTTCAAGATCTGTCATCGACAGGAGGTGGGAGACTTAGGATTGATATACTGAACGGGGCCCCGTGGACGTGGGTCCTGGGTAACCCTATGACTATATTCTCACTCCGTGGGGGCCGGGGGGGAGGGAGGGGAGCGGTAAGGGCACTCGGGTGAAATACTAAGCTCCGCGCCCTAAGTGATGGAGTCTCGGCAGGCGGGAACGTCTGTAGGAAGGCCCTTTGTGCCTTTTCTTTAAATAGAGTTTGGTCATAAATTTTCTTTTCCTTCTTTTTTTTAAGGTGGCTGATGAGGGTTTATTTTCTTTCTGTGCTCGATGTCACTCTGTTGTTGGACGTGCTATTGTTCTGGAGCTGGCGAGGGGAGGGGAGGGGAGCAGGAGGCAGGAACCACATTGTGAGTGAACTTGAACTTGGCAGCGGGAGCCTCGGGAGGTAAGCTTCCCGTCTGTCTGTCTGTCCTGCAGGGCTCCCTCCCTGTCACCAGTTCTCCCGTGGCCACAGCTGAACTCTTCCTGTGCCCTGATGGCACCGTGAGTGGACACAACATGGCCTCGTCTTTTGTGTATGCTCACCTGATTGGAAAGGGACGTGTGATCTTATTTTCCCATTCTGTGAATTACAGCTCGGAAAGGATTTTATTGTGCCCCCCGATGACATCACTTTGGAAATATCATTCAATTGGGCGGCCTGCTTTCCTCTGGGCGATGGTACCAAATAAACACCCCTCTCCCCCCACCCCCACCCCCCGGCCTTCTTTGTACGGCCACTGACTGTGCCTCCATATGCACAGGTGAATTTTCAACCACGTAGAGAAAGGAAAGGACTGCCAACCTCACAGCCTTCGACATGATGTGGAATGAATATCAGTCTATTCAAACAGAGCTGTGACCAGAAGGGGAAAAAAAACAACACAGAACTTCGCCCGCTTTGCACAGAAAATGCATTTTCCAGTCGCTTTTGGACAGAGGCCCTCCGCGAATATGTTTAAAGTCGTGTACAACAGGAATATGCTATCACACGTAACCATGTTTTAATAAACACTTCATCTTTTTGTAGCGCTCTCCTTTCATCACAATAATAGAAATAGAACACCATATATCACTGTAAAACACATTTCCACATAAATGCTGATAAGCACAAAATATTTTTCATCATTTACATTTTCGCCGTAATAATATATGGCAGGATTAAAGCTGCATCCATCATGTGTCTAACTAACCTTGCTGTAATGAATTTTTAAATGTAATGGTTTCTGTCGCAAAGTAAAATCGTACATAATGCCGGGTGACACCGTGCGCCGGTGGACGGGTGGTTTTTAAAATGGAAATGCGGCTTCGTTTTTTAATTAAATTTATTAACGTAAGCACTCCTCCGCCCAGCGCCTCCCCGGCACCGAGGACCTAAAGCAAGAATGACGAGAGGCCTGGCTACGGGAAGGACTGCCTAGCAGCTCGCTCCTCGTTCCAGGGGCCGGCCTCTCGGCAGTTCTGTGGATCCCGTGCGCCTGTGCCTTTGACAAGAGTGGGGCACCCATAGGAACAAAAGCGCCTGAACATCAGGGTGGGAAAAGCTTCCCAGGGTGTCTGAGGGGCTTTGCTGCTTGGGGTCCCCTCTTGATGGCAGTGCTCGTGACCAGATTTGGGGTGGGGGTGGGGCACGAGGGGCATCTGCCGCCAGGATCTGGGTCAAGGACAAATGCATCGCTCTCTCTCCATCTCTCTTTTTCTCCATCTCTCTCTCCCCCCCCCCCCCCCGTTTGAAATAACAAATAAGCCGACTCACCAGAGAAGAATCATTAAAAATAATTTGCACAAGCTTTGGGTTGCGCGGGCTCTTTTTTTGATACGCTATTTCCTCCCGTGATTATGGCCGCGGACATGCTCCAGCCATATGGAAACGGGCTGGGCTGGGAGCCTCCCAATACCTGAGTGGTTAATTAAGAGCCGCTGCCCGGCCACAAGAAGCAGGTTGGAAATCCCTCTTCAGTCTCCGACAATGAGTAGCTTTTTTAGCAGCAGAAGTCACCAGGGACAGCCAGAAGCGAGGGTAATTATTTGAGATAACACACAGCTGAAAAGAGAGTGTGTGAGTGCCGAGGGGGGCGGGGGCCGCGGGGGGGGGGGGGGAGCGCTGAGCAGCCGAGAGAAGGGCAACAGTAGAGAAAAGTCTATAATAAAAAGGTCAACATCCCCTATTTTTCTGTACAGTGTCGACAGTCTGTAATGCCTTTTTAGCATGAATGACAACGGATGCTGTCTTTCTTTTCTTTTTCTTTCTTCCTTTTTTTTTTTTTTTTTAAGGGAATATCTTATTTTGTATTCAAACTTCGCAATGGTGAGTTCAGGCCTGCCAGCTTCATCTGAATAAGCTATTCTCACTTTATCAGGGTTTGCTGAACTGACTTTGATTGCATTGTTGCAAAATAGCAGTAATTTTTCCATTAACCCATACAAACCCTTGGCGCGCAGGAGAACAAAGAAATATCAGAGGGATGAAAGCCGCGGGAGCCGGGAGGGGAGCCAGGAGCCTCCTGGATGGCCCCGGAGGCCACGGTGCCCACCAGCTTCTGGGACTGGGGGCTGGGGGGGTCCCCCCTGGAGGCCACAGGAAGCTCCCTTCCGGGTCCCTTGGGGTTTGGGTCTCCGTGGGCACCTTCGCTCCTGCCTGCCAAATGCTATTGTTTCCAAATGCATTAGCTGGGCCTGGGAGGCAGGGGCTGGGGGGTCCCCCCTTCAGGGGGGCCTGCCTTGTTGTGGCATCTTTCCCTCCCCGGCCGGTGACCTCAGGCTCCATCTGGAACTCAGCCCAGGGACGCTCGAGGCCCTTCAGAACCCAGGATTCTCTGACCACAGAGGGACCTTTCTTTTCCCCGAGGAAAAGCCAGCTCCTCTGGCAACTGGGATTGCAGAAAGAACCCCAAACCCTCCTACCTGACGAGTGGCACCCCCACAGGGCGTTCTGAGGTGGCAGGCTCCGCGGGCGGGTCTCTGGTCCCCAGGTAGCTGTGTGAGGGAGGCTATTGTTTTACGCGACTGCAGCTGCCTTTGCCCGTGGATGCAGTGATGGGAGGCAGCTGAGGGCAGGCGTGCCTCCCGCCCCGCTCCCTCCGTCGGCTGGAGGTCGGTTCGGAAGCATCAGGCACAGCTGCGGAGCCACGTTCCTGCCAGGAAACCCTGAAGTCGGGATATAGGCGGCTGTTCAGTGCCTCAAACCTGAAGCGTGAGGTTTTCTTTAAAAAAATATGTTTTTCATTCATCTCAGAGAGCAAGGGAGAGGGAGAGGGAGAGAGAGAAACATCAATGACGCGAGAGAATCATGGACCAGCTGCCTCCTGCATGCCCCCTACAGGGGATCGAGCCCGCAACCCGGGCACGTGCCCTGACCAGGGAATCAAACCCTGACCTCCTGGTTCATAGGTCGATGCTCAACCAGACTGCGTTTTCGTTTTTGTCTTGAACTTGAAATGTCAAGGCGATACGCTGGTCGTTGGCGTGCGAGCCTCGGCGGCAGGCCTGGGCAGAGAGCTGAGGTCTCCCAGGCTCTGATCTGCGGGCTCCCACGGTGGTGGCTCCCCCCAGAACCCAGCCTCAGCTTTGTTTAGGATTGGCCCTATATGTTAATTATCTCCCTTACCTCCGGGCATGGCACTGTCAAACCCGACACCCGCCTTTAGAAAATAAAAGCGCACACCGCGCCCCCCGCTGTCCCCTGCTCCCACCGTACCCGGCCCCTGACACCGCCTGAGCTGTCAGATGAGAGGCGGCATCACCGGAATCAAGGTGGGCAGATGTGTGATAATGAGACAGAAGCCGGCAGATGCTAATGGAGCCCACCAGCTCGGCTGCCGGAGACGATCCAGGTAGCAGCTGCCGACTGTCAGGACGCCCGATGCCACCTCCTCCTGATTCTTATTTAAGAGCCGCTGCGCCCGCCGCTGCCGCCTGTCAGTGAACCCTCCCTCCCAGGAGCGCCCACCCCTGGGTGATCAGTCACATCTCGACATAACTAGACGTCAAAAGAAGTTTCCGTCGCAGGACGGACTCCGAGGCGGTGGGCGCCAGCCTCCTGCCTCCCAGGTGGCTTCTTAATGATCCGCCTGGCAACGCGGGCGCCTTTTCCCTGCGTTTTGTTTTCTTATTAAAACGCCGGCGAGGTCTGCGTCCATATCCATGTCAGCCGCCGCCGCAGAGCGTTCGAAACAATAGGATCCCAAGCGTGATTTCATGTTACGTGGGGAGCCCGGGCCCACGCCGGCCAGAACGCGGAGGGCCGGGCCGAGCAAACAGGCGTCCCCTTCGAAAGGCCCCCGTCAGCCTCCTTCCTGGAAGCAGGGTCCTGTGGGGATTTCTCGTCGGCCCCAGTTGGGACATTGGAGGTGGGGGGGTGGGATGGGGCCATGTGAGGGCGTCACCATGGGCCGATCCTGGCCCGGGATTGTGGGAAGGGAGTTGAGGCTACTCGATTGGGCTGATGGGAAAGTGATGCCCACCTGGGAGAGGCAGGAAACAGAAATAACCTGTGAACTGGCCTCTCGCACTCCAGGGAAACGGGAGAACAGGAGCATGGACTTGACCAGGTCCTTATCGGCCTGTGTGAGCCCTGGGCCCCTGGGCCAGTGTGCCTGGCGATGGGCTGGCGGGGCCTGGAGTGGGGGGCAGTGAGGAGGTACATGTGGCCCATGCCGTCAGGTCTGCCCGGAGCCCGCCAGCGCTAGCCCTTCCTTGGGAGGCAGGCATTTCTTGGAGCATTTAGCTGGGTCGGGTCAGTTTGTTCTCTAAATATTTTCATCTCCTCCTGCCACTGTTTACATTTCCATTGGGAAAATAAATACGGCATGTCACTTCTGCCTGCCGCATTTTCTTAGAGATTTTAATCCTGATTCCTCATGAAAGGTTTGTGTGCGCATGCACACACGCACAAGTGCACACATACACACACACACACGCACCCCCTCCAACCCTAGTGTGAAGGCACCCCAGTTCACAAAATGCTCTTCTTTCTTCTCTTCCGAGAGGGAGAGGATGTGCCCGGGAAACCTAATGCCGTGTTGACATAATGAAGCGTTCGGAGGAATCGCACGTCCTCAATCAGAGGGCCAGCCGGGCTCATCCGGAATGTTCTAAGCCACCACCACCCCCTTCCTCATCTCTCTGAACCCCCTCCCCACACCACTGCCTCCCCCTCCCTGTCTGGTTCCTGCTGGCACCGGGCACAGGCTGGGTCTGCCCTCCTGAGCCCTCACACAGGGCTTCAACCCTCCCGTCAGAACCTTGGTGGCTTGAAGCTCATTAGGATGTCGGGGCTTTCCCCTGGAGTTTTAAATTTTAAAACAGCTAGGATTGGTGTGCGAGGTCTTAACCTTAGACTTTGTCATCACTTAGCGATCACGTAGCCAACGCGTGAGTGGTTGTTATCTTTTAAAGGCTCCTTTTCCTTCGCCAGCCATGGATTGGCCGCACCCCTGGCGGCCCGAGGGCGTGCGGGTACATAGGTGACGGGAAATGCCCGTTTATGTCTCCGCGGTGAAACACAAGCGGTGAGGAGACATTTCTGAACTTGGGTTCATCTTGCCTTAAACAGAAGCCAGGAGTGTCGGAAGCGACTGTAGGGGGCGGCAGAGATGAACGGGGGTGGGGACTGGGGAGCTGAGTGAGCCCAAGGTTGGGAGGGGGGGTATAGGGGGGGGGACAAGCCCGGGCCAGCACGGCTCTCAGGTCGAACCCTCGCCTCCTTCGAAATGTGGATAACGAGCAATTGCTGATTTAAAAAATATATATATATTTATAGATTGCAGAGAGGAAGGGAGAGGGAGAAAGAGAGAGAGAGAGATAGAAACATCAACGATGAGAGAGAATCATGCATCGGCTGCCTCCTGCACACCCCACACCGGGGATTGAGTCTGGAACCCGGGCCTGTGCCCTGACCGGGGACTCAAAGGGTGACCTCCTGTTCGTAGGTCATTGCTCAACCACTGAGCCACGCTGGCCCGGCGTGCAGTTGCCGGTTTCTGACTGCACCAGGCACTACACTAAGCAAGGTGACGGACGTGGTGGAAAGCACTTCAGGCGCAGGCGCGGTGTAATTCTGGCCTCGTGGCCTCACCTCTCTGGGCTTCAGACCCTTTTCTTCAGTGAATAGTACTAGAACCTGCCTCTTACGTTTGATGTGAACATGAACGGAGGGGCTGTCAGTGACGGATCTGACCTGGCAGTGAGGAC